TTAGTTACATGAACGAGAAGGGTTTGAAGGTTTTGACCAAAAAAAAAATTTTTTTTTTTAAAGTGTAGAATGCATCCTTAAAGAAGTGTGGTCATTGCTTGATAGGAAAACAAACCAAAGTTGCATTCAAGACATCCCTTCTATAAAAAAAGTCAAGTATACTTGATTTAGTATATTTTGATATTTACGATCCTATGAGAACAAAAATATTTGGTGGTTCCATCTATTTTATGACTTTTATTGATGATCATTCAAGGAACATATAGGTTTATAACTTTAAATCAAAAGACCAAGTATTAGATGTATTTAAAGAATTTTATGTTTTAGTTAAAAGACAAACAAGGTTAAAATTGAAATGCATAAAAACTGATAATGATGGTGAGTACACTGGACCTTTTGATAAGTATTGCATATAACAGAGTATTAGATATCAAAGGTTACCTCCCAAAACTTCTTAGTTGAATAGGTTAGCTGAGAGGATAAACAAGACATAAATGGAAAGAGTGAGATGTTTGCTTTCATAAGCACAATTATTAAAATCTTTTTAAAGTGAGGCTTTGAATACAATTGTACATGTTTTGAATCTCTCACTATGTGTTCTTCTAGATTTTGATGTTTCAAATAAAGTTTGGTCAAGGAAAAATGTGTTCTATGATCATTTGCACACATTTGGATATAAGGCTTTTGTGCATATTCTCAAAGATGAAAGGTCCAAGCTTAATGCCAAAACTAGATAATGTGTGTTCCCTGGTTATAGCCAAGATGAGTTTGGCTACAAGTTTTATGATCCAATGTAACAGAAACTTATAAGAAGTAGGGATATTATTTTTGTTGAAGACCAAACCATACAAGATATTTAGAAAATCGATATGTTAATTCCACGATGCAGTAATGGTTTGATTGATTTGAATCTGGTTCCTCTAATACATGTGCCTAGAGGTTAAAGATGTTAAGGATAACCAATATAATACAGGTGATATTGATATCAATCCTATATAAATTGAATTGGGTGATGATACTTATGAACAGTTACCAGTATCAAAGGTTTAACCAGAGATTTTACTAGAAGTTTCACTCAGGAGGTTTACTCGATAACGACAACCTTCCATATGGTATTTTGTTGATAAGTATGTGTTACTAACTGAAGATGAAGAACCCGAATGTTATGTAGAGGCCATAAAAGATGAACACAAGAAAAAATGAGTTGATGCCATGCAAGATAAGATGAAATCTTTGCATAAGAATAGTACTTTTAAGCTAGTAAAGCTACAAAATGAGAAGTTTGAAGTTTGTTGTTTTATCTTCGGAATGGTAATTCTTTCCACATAGTTAGAAAATAAAAGATTTGTTGGGTTTAATTTCCTCCATGTGGAGGTGGCTTAAAACTAAAGCCTATTCATCAAGGACTATTTAATTCTTTTATGCTTGGTTATAGGGTTTTAAACCCTTGCATGGCTAAAAAAAAAAACCAACGTAATAAAGAATAGATTCATAAATATAACATACTCAATGGTTCCACCATGCACACCAACAGAATAAAGTTTTTTTTTATTATTTTTTATTTTTTATACCTACGGAAAGCTAACCAAGTGGTAGTACTAGCTAGTAGTGGATGTGAGAGCTGCTGTACCATCCAAACATCGCTTTGGAAACTTCAATTATGGCCCATTAACATTTCAGAAGAATTAAAATCCAAATGAGAGAGGGCCTCATCGCGTGGAAAGGCCTGTTCCTGCCGATTTCCAATGGATAATAACGGCTATAAGTAAATTCCCTGATTTCTGTCAACGTGTAAATATGTGGTGGCCTGGGACGCTTCAAACCACAAAAAAAAAACTGAAATAACTATCACTCTTAGACCAACTTGATACCAATTCCTCGCGGGGGATTTGTTTTGTGGTTAAAAGCGTTTGTTTTCTGGCTGTACGGGATGATTTTCTTCTAGGAAAGAAACTGGGCGAGGTTGCTTTTGCTGTGGTGTATAGAGTTTCATTGGCTAAGAAGTAAACTCAAAGTTATGGCGTGTTTGAGAAATCCACTGTGTAAAATTCTGCATTCATTTCCGCATACCTTTGACTTTACTTGCATTTTGTGTAATAAGTGGTGCTTAATTTATCAAGTTACCATCTGAATTGGGATGTTAAGCTGTTGGAGTTAGCTGCCTTTTGTTGAGATGGTTCACGGAGTAAAGAATGTCATGTCATTAAGAAATGTGAATGAGATGTGCTATATACATATATATGGAAGACCTAAAATTTTAATAGCTTAAGCTTTTGGGTTCAAGTGATGTCTAAAATATGTATGTATGAGTTTTTGGTGTGATCCCATAGACTCCAAGTGTGACATATCTCCCCATCACTTTCATTAGTAAGTGGTTTCGGATTCTTTGACTTCAAAAACAAAAAGAATTGGTGATATGTTTATATAGCATGACGGCTCTTGAGAGGTGATTGAATAGGCTGTTTGTAAGTTTCCAATAGTGGCAATGAATATGGGATGTCAGCCGTTAACTAATTTTTGCGTTTTGTTCTTCATAAGAAAGAGGGCGACTTGGTCTTGAAAAAGGCTACTGAATATGGTGCGGTGGAAATCTGGATGAATGAGCGCGTGAGAAGAGCTTGTGCAAACAGCTGTGCTGATTTTGTATAAGGCTTTCTTGAGGTCTACTACTACTACTACTACTACTACTACAACTACCATATGAATTTAGGGTATCATTATCTGAATCGATAAAGTTTAGTTTGATAGCTGGGACTAGATCATTTATTTATTTTTCTTCTTTATTCATTTCTAGCATCTGACTTGAAATCGTTATCATGAAACATCTTCAGGGTTCCTCAAAGAAAGGAGGAGAATATTGGCTTGTGTGGCGTTTTGAGGGAGAGGCCACACTTTCAGATTTGATGCGGATCAAAGAGTTTCCGTACAATGTTGGAACTTTCTCTCATCAGCTTTTTCTTTTTGTTGAATTACATTTTGATTTTTTTCTGTTTTCCTGGCAATTTATTTGCCAAATACCATGTAATCCACACAGACTTTTCCCCCGTTCTCTACCTTTGTGGAGGTAATCTTGTAGGTGGATGGTTAGATTATTAGGCCATTTTTAAAGTAGACATTGAATCTTAACTATTTTTTTTTTGGTTATAGACTGTCATAGGAATTTTAATAGTTTCAACTTTCATAAATCAGTAGTTTATCTTATTTTACTTTACCTTTCTATAATTGCCAACTCTAGTAATTCTTTTGTATAATATCAGGGGGAAACCATGATACTTTGGGAGGTTCAGAACTTGCCCAAGGGCTTGGAAAGGGAAAATCAAATCATTTAAACTATCATGAGACAGATCTTATTTGCCTTGGATGGTCTTCATTCAACAGGAATTGTGCACAGGGATATTAAGCTCCAAAATATTATTTTCTCAGAAGGTAATGGTATCAAGTTTTACATAATAAAGATTTTCCAACTCTAGAATTTCTAGATTAATTCTTTGCTGTTTTGAAACTTGAGTAGGGTCTCTTACATTTAAAATCATTGATCTTGGAGCTGCGGCAGATTTGACAGTGGGCATCAACTATATTCCAAAGGAATTTCTTTTGGATCCAAGGTAAAATACTATTTATAAGCAACAGAGATATCTGATTTCTAACTGTGGACTGATGTTTAACTGATGAAAAGTATTATCCACAATTGCTATCGTGATAATTCATGTCTGCTAGGTCTTTAACCTAAGAATAGGTTTGGTCCATGGCATGTATAATGTTCCCCTGTCATCACTTTGCCTAGAAAAGTGCTAAAAGTGTTTGCAGTGGAACTGGATAATAGAGGAATATGAAATAAAAGTGTTTGATTCAACATGGAAATCAGTGGAGTAATTTGAGTAAGACAAGCAGAATGCACCTATAATCAAAATACATGCACAATGCAAAATTTGCAAAAATTTTCATTTCCTAATCCTGTTACAAGTCTTGATATCAGTTTATATTCATCTAATTGCAAACAATTCAGTTCCAATTGGAAAAATAGTTCACAAACCCACCATAGTTCTATAATTTGTTTTCAACTTATCAGTATAGCATTCTGCTGAAGCATTTGTTCTTATATATTTTCATTTGATATCATGCTATTGAACCAGCACCAGTAAATTAGCATCCACATGAAATGTGAAGATAAACAATATGAAATTGCACTACAATCAGATCATGAAGCTTAAATAAGGAGACAAATCATCAAGGGTCAACAGCTCGTGAACTTCATTTGGTTCAAATCAACAAATTTTAAGCTCAAAGTTTAACAGAATTACTGGCCCTCTTTCGGCTTGTTGCCTTGTGTGCTTGGATCAGAGTACCCAAGCTACATGTCCAAGGTTCCAGGGCTGGCGAGAGAAAAGAGAATGAAGCAAAATTTAGCAGAATTAATCCCATATTTAACGTTTACCTGGTGCCTGGAAACTTCCACCAACTCTGAAATAATCTCTCAGAAAGCACTTCCACATAGGCATCTGAGTAGGAAGTCCCAGGTGAAGACCATAATGCATCCCCATCGCTATGTTTGATGAATCGAAAGACCAAATGTCTAAGTTGCATCAATATCCTCCATCTCCAACTGCTTTCTGATTGATTGAAGCCTGCAAAACTGTTCTGCCAACTTGTCCTCATATCCACATGTTTCTGATACTTCATTACATTGAATCCACCTCCATATAATTGCTTCTTGATTTATCAGGGTTTCAAATTTTCAATTTTTCTTAGATATGCTGCACCAGAGCAATATATCATGAGTACACAGACTCCTGGACCCTCTGCTCCAGTGGCAACTGCACTTTCTCCTGTTCTGTGGCAGGTTTGTATACCAGTATATTCTCCCCAGTTTATGAACACCTTGCTCTTTGGCTTTCATTGACACGGACTTTTTGTTGTCATTGATGATGTTATTCCCGAACAGATAATCTACCAGATGGATTCGATATCTACAGTGCTGGTCTCATTTTCCTACAAATGGTGAGTGGAAAACTGGAAGATGATGCTTAAGTCTTCTTTGATTGTTTGTCAAAATGTTGTAATGTTAAAATACTGAATTGATGCAACAGATGTTGATGAAAGCAGACAAAAAGTTCTTTATTAAAATTAACATCACTTTTGCGATCATATATTTAAGAGATAAGTTAACTTGAAACATAACAGATACTGCAAAACTTTGAGAAGCTAAACTTCAAGAAATGAATGGGTTGTTTCAAAGTTAAGTTCTTGTGACTAGTCGAATTAGTTCAAATAATATAAAGACAAGATATCCCGATGTTTCAAGCTGATTTTCTCTGGTCTCAATTGCGAACACGGTCAAAAATAAAAATGAAGTACTCAAAACTTTGTAGTGCATGAAAAATCACATATGAAAGATGTGGGAAGTCTCAAGATGATATGCTCAAAGTTAATTAGGCTTGCTCCAGATAAGATTAAATACTTAAGCACCGGCAATATATAGCTTTCAATGTCTATAGTTAAGTTTCTGACATCGTATATTTCTAGGTGCAACATCTGTGAATAATAACACTGTTGTTGTTGTAATCATTATGCTATAATTGAAGAACTAGCTCTATTAAACTCAAAACAGCTTTCCTCAAACAGGCATTTCGATCATTACGGTCAGACAGTGCCTTGATTCAATTCAACCGTCGGCTAAAGAGGTGTGATTATGACTTGGTTGCAAGGAGGAAAATAGTAGAGGCTCGTGCTAGCTCTGACCTCCAGAAGGGCTTTGAGCTGCTGGATTTAGATAATGGGATAGGATGGGAACATCTGACATCAACGGTTCGCTATAAAGCGAGACAAAGGATCAGTGCAAAAGCAGCTTTGGCTTACCCTTACTTCGATAGGGATGGGCTGTTAGCTCTGTCCTTCATACGGAATATGAAGCTGCAGTTCTTTAGGGCTGCACAGCAAGATTATTGGGAAGCTGCCAATTGGGTAATCACTTTAATGGCAAAATCTGGAACAGAGAGAGGGTGGCTTCACAGAAGCACAACTTCAGGAGCTCAGAGTCTGTATCAAACTATAGTTAGATTGCATTCTTGCAAGCATCATGATACCCTTCAACTGAGGTTTTTCCTCGTTGTGCAGGATATAGAGCGTAAGAAGGAAGCAAGTCCACAACCAAATGCTCTTGCTTCCGCTCTTCTACTTCGGAGGAAGATTGTCAGAACATTGAATGAGAGCATGGATGAACTTAGCAGACACAGTGAAAGTATATGGTGACGCAGGTGGATCCACAGAGAAAAATAGAGTTGCATATACATGACTTTTTTTTATAAGATAATTTGTTTTTCTCTTTTTTGGGTGTATTTGTGTGTTAATGACAACTGACCATTCTGGTAGAAAGGAGTAGTGATGATAAAGGAATTTAGATGGAACTCAGTAGGAACATACTAGGAATCTTTTGAATGCACGTGCAAGGGAATTTGTGAATAATAAAAGTTTTAGTGTAGTTTTGAATGAACTGAAACTGCTATGAATCATGCTGTCTATGTCTTTTCATAATTTTTCTGAAGACTATACGGTTTTCCTCAGAGTTTCCAAAGCCAGCTGCCAAGGGCTATACACTCATGTTTAATATAATATCTAGAAGTTACTTGTTTATGTTTCATCATTGGAAATGAAAAAACAAGAGAAGTACTATTGGAGTAATTGGCACTGATATATACATTTTTTTCCTCTCAGTAACCAGGAAAAATTGCATGACATCCTAGGAAAGAACTCCACGAACTTATGCCAACCAACTTCGTAAAACATAAACCTAGCTGCTCCATCTTCTGTTTTTCTTTTCACATAATGTTGTTTGGAGTTGTCAGTCAAACATCCTGTTCCGATCACTTATTGTTTAATAATTCTAGAGAGAGCAATCAGGTAAATTAGAATGCTTTTCCTTATCCCAAAACCTATCTGCATTTGTAATCAGCACATTGTTGACAAGGCGCTCGGCATGAAATTAAGTCAACTAACATGCTAAAACCTATTATTGTACGGTGACCAGCAATGACCTTGCCGACCATGGAGAGTTGATTGCTTAGACACCATGATCAGCTTTAAAAATTCATCCGTACGTGATTACTTAAGTACTAAATAAACTGATCTCATTCCTAAGCAAAGTCCATTATAATTTATATGCAAGGAAGGAGACAACTGTAGCATTAATGGCGCTGATCAAAGGCAATAATGAGTAGAATCATAATTGTCAAAGATCATCGATACGATTAATCCTAGGACATTTGGAAATTTGTTAAATTTATATAGCTAGGTCTTTGACAATATCATCCCTTTCCCTTCTCCATTCCTTTCTTTTATGATAATATCTAGTTAAATATAAATGGAGAAATTTTGAATTAATTAAGGTCTCAAATAATAATATAAATATAATAAAATTATGCCTTGATCAGTACCTCTCCTTTCTCAATGGTTCAGATCAAACGGTACGTTTCCAGGATCCCAGCAGCTATAAGAATTGGGACGCTGATCTTTGCTCACCTTGAAGACAAAGAAAGAGTTGAAGGGGCAGTGGAAACTTTTAGCCATTTGAATGATTGAAGCTTTAATTTAAACTGCAATTAAGGGGGAGAGAATGTGGACGCCCGTACTCTATGAAATATTATCTATTTTAATTCAAAAGTTTCATGATTTTATTTGATAAAAATGATATCGTATCAAAGCTTGATGTTTTCATCAAGCTCAACGCAAAACACATAAATCTATCAAATGACACCAAATATTAAAATTTTAGAAGTAGTTACCACCATGTAACATTTAATTTTTGTTCAATTGGTGACCTTTATATCATTTATGAAGATCCATATTCAACTTGCGAGATATTATTCGTTTTGATTCGAAGGTCTTATAATTTTATTTTACAAATAGCACTTCGTAAGTTTGAGTTTATATATATATATATATATCATAGCAAATTTTTAGAACATTTGATGTAGGATTAGAGTATTACAAATAAGGTGACAGAAGCACTACATGTGGGAAAAAAGATGCACAATAATAAAGAAGCTGCAAGAACAAATACATATATGGTGATCATGAGTTCGTGATTCAAAATCATGAAAATATAAGAAGATTAGAGAATATTAATTATATCAATAATGTTGAGTCTGTTACAGGCAATGCATGCCTGTGTAATTCACGATAACTTCACGTGCAACTCTGACCTCCTTGTTCAGTACAATACAACCAAGCCAAGCCAGCCATTTTAATTATAAATGTAAATGCTGTAGCAGTAGCAGCAGCAGCAAGAGCTGGAGCCACCACTTTAATCTAAACCTGTAAAACTTTGATCACAGTGCATTTGATAGATTAGTTTATGTGACGTTGTCTCTAATCTAGTTGAAATTCCCAAAGCTTTGGGTGTCTAAACTCTAAATACTCCATAGATCATAACCATTTTGATATTCTGCTATAGGAAACAACCGCTGAATTTGACCAAAGAGAAGAACTAATTACCTTTTATTGAAAGCATAAATAATTACACTATGACATGATCAATTATATTCATTGTCTTCAAAGGTTGTAAGATTACAGCTTTGAAAATCAATAATTTATATATGTCAAAAATGATCTTATAGACTAACAAATTAAGAGAATAAAAACATAAAGAATATAATTTGATTAGATAAAGCTAATTACAAGATCAGTCGGATTGCCAATTTGATTAGATAAAGTTTTTCCTGTAAGATTTAATTAAGCTGAGATTAATTGAAAGAAAATCAGCTTGATTATATCGTCCAAATCAGCAGAGCAACTGAGTATATAAGTTAGCAGACAATACAAATAGAATCTTAAAATCTTGTCTACACTCTTAAAAAGAATGGATAGCTCTCAAACCGATATTGACAACCTAAAAAATTGTTCAAAGATAGAATAGAAAATGATTAATTGTATATAGAGGCGAGCGAGGGTTAATGGAAGTTAACGTCCTATATATATATATATATATAATATATATATATGTTCATACGGGAGAAACACGAGACCAAACAAGTGGTGCCTTGCTTTGCTTTTAGTTTAGTGTATTTTAATCAATCACTTAGTTGGGGTTTGAGCTCTTACCTTGTTTTTATCAATCTTATTATTCTATTATTATAATGGAATCTTTGGTCATAACCTTGAGGCTGGAGAGCGCGTTGGGGTTACTGATTTTTAGGGGATTTTTGTTGTTCATGTGATCAATTTTATTGTAAAGTGGATTCAAACTCCTGCAAAGCCAGTACTTCTGATCAATATTTTCAGCAGCCAACGAGCAAAAACAGGAAGAACCCTGTGATTTGAATATTGGAAATGCAAAATATATCATTCTTTTTATATTCCTATATACAAATTATCTCATATCCACTTTGGCCACTCTGTCAAATGTTTCACCAGGATTTCAACCATATGAAGTTCAGATGTGAATTGAATTCAAATTCGTAGCCAATCTCAAGAATTACAATGTTGATGGGATCTTATTCTTATTGGGTCTGCTGTCAACTTTACATGGTTACATGATTTAGCTATATGTAGCAAAGCTAGCTTGTCTAAATACAATCTAATAAATTCATTAATCAAAACTGAGAAGTAATAATTTTTAAAAGAAATGGTCAAAACTCGAACATCAATCTCCATAAACCAGAAACTTATACTAGTAACTTTTTTTTTTAAACAATATTACGCCTAATGCTGTCTTGTTATGTTTGTGACAAAAGAGAGCATCAAGATTATGTTAAATCATGTAATTATGAAGATAATTCTCTGACAGGGAGTTTTTTTGGCATCTCCTACAGAGACGCAAACATGCAGCCAAGCCACTTAGTTGTAATTGTCATTAGTAGTTGAATAATGTCTCCAAAACTCAGTTTCTTGTCTCATCATATATCATTAACCCATTAACTAGTTTATTGTTTAAATTACTTAATAAGTAAAATTAGTCGTCCATGACAACATTAATGTTAATTTGATTGATACCCATGTCCCTACATAGATGACTTAAATTAGAGTCACAAAAGATGATAAGATGAGCTCATTATCAAATTTCAAGTCTCTAATTAAACAAGTGAGTGGAAGTTAATATGAATTATTTTGTAGGATTCAACTCTCTTTGTTTAAAAAAAAAGTTGGTTCCAACAGAAAATAAGAAAGAAACAAAAAAAAAGCAATTTTTTTTAAGAAAAAAGAGATGATCACCTCACAATCCATTAATAATCTCCTCGTCATCCACAAATTGAAAGGCAAGGGCATAAATAATTATAAACAAGAGAAATTATGTAGCTTATTGAAATTTATGGCCGTCCCAATTGTGCTGGTGAGTGATGCCGACAGAAGCTAGGATAAAGAGTATGACAGGGCAGAGAAAATGAGAGAGAGAGAGAGAAAGGGATAGGGGCTTGTTTGGATTCCTTTATAATTTTCCTTTGGTGTTGGGGTATGGCTGTGGTGGGGTCTAATTGTTGTTGTCTGGTGGGTTAAGGGGCATTGCACGCCTTCTCATGCCCCATCGTTGGTTCTTTACTAGACCAATGTAAGCGAGGACCACACCCCTTTCCTTCCTATAAGAACTCCCTCAAACATAACCTCTTTCACCTCATCAGCCAAACGCATAACTCACAAAGTTTACCCTCTATTTTCTCTTCACTCACAACAATCAAATTCATCATCAGCAAAAGGTAAAGATGAAGATAAGCAGTGCCACCATGGGAGCCTCAAAGAGAAGGCTATCAAGCAGAGGCCTTGGAGGGGCCCTCCGAGAGCAAAGGGCTAAGCTTTATATAATACGAAGATGTGTGGTTATGCTTGTTTGCTGGCATGATTGAAATTCCCAGGCCATGCTAATGGTAATGGTCATGGAGGATTTGGGGGGTCTTTTTCTTTCTTTCTTCTTCTTTTGGTGGAGTGTAAATACTAGCAGCGGATGTCATCGGAAGTCAAAAACAAGTTTTGTATGCCTCGGCCTTATGGCCTAGATGTAAATTAGATATAGCTTTTAACTAAATCTTTGATATTATTTAACAAAGTATATGGTCGTTTATTAATCTTTAACATCTGCTTTTTCTTTTTGGTCATGAATTCTTTACGGCTTACCATATATAATCAACATCATGAGCATGAAAGCCTAACTTTGAGTGCTGGACTCGAATCATTTCCGGTTATTATTAGTAACCATGACAGTTTGCAATGAGTTTTGTTAGAGGACAAATTCATGGGTAGAAGAATATGCCCAACTTGCAAAGGCTTTTGGGCTGCCTTTTTTCATGAAGTGATCAAAGATTCAAAGTCGTTGACTCTGGGTTATTGCACAAGTTAATAATGCATAATTAATAATGGAAATGCCCTTAGGACGACAGCTTTAGCCTTTTAGCAATATTATTTATTGTCATTTCACTCACTTTTAATAGGCTACTATAACTAAGCATACTTTTTGTTTATATTTTTTGAAATTGTTAAATTTATCATCAGTCATTTGAGTTAGGAATTGACCAGTCTATGTATGCAGCACTTTGGGGGGGGGGGGGGGCATTAATAATAAAGGAGGAAACAACGACTAAAGTGGATAAGAGTTAGAGATATTGATGAGATCCCCTGCTTATGTAGGCCCCTTAATCATATAAAAGAACTACAAAGTAATAATAATGGTACAATGCTACAAGTAAACTAGTTTAATTCTCCAAATATTCTCCTTCTTCTTTTCCCTTCCTCTCCGAAAACCAGCTTCAAAATTGTTAAAATCTGTCCCTGAAAAATATCATGATTGATTGTCTCCCGTTTCCTTTTCGAAATTTGACTATATATATAGTACCAGTAAAAGAAACAACCTAACCTAGAACAACCTTTGTGACATTAATCAAAGACCATGTATGCTTATATAAAATTAAACCAAGTTAAGCGGTCTCTATCATAATCCTTGTTTTAATTGTCTTGTATTTGATCAAACAGCTAGCATTGTCCATGTTCTATTGTAATGAAAATCATTTTTAATTATATTTAATCATTTTATCACCATTGAATAAATGAGCATCCAAAAAGAAATATATGGCTTATTTATTCCATGGTGGCCAAAACTCCATGTGGTGGGGCAGATGAATTATTGGATCATAACCCACGTTCAGGTGCGGCACGTGTACGTTTAAGATGTCCCATGGCTTTTGTTTGGTCTTTGTCTCTCATCTTCTTCTTGTGAGATACCCAAAGGCAAAACAGAAGAGAACTAGGGACTAGGCAAAGCTTGTCTTTTTCTTTTTTGGGGGGCCAATTTAGTAATCATCTAATACTTTCAGCCCTCACACAAAACACAACAGCTACCCTCTTGATCAAAGACACGTGTAATCTCATATGAGTTTTCACTTGGTAGGAGAGATGTTCCTATACATATTGGTGGGTCATGGTTGTCGGCAGCAACAGGAGCTGAATTTGCAATCTAATATTCTGTTGTCGGCTCGGCCACATAGGATAGGAAAGGTGCCACCGTGTGAACTCAACTGGGGGTGTGGGAGTTTGGGGAAATAAGAATGGTCAAACGGGCAGGAGTTGGCTCCCAATCCACAACCCCCAACACCACATATACATGTCTGATTCTAATTTCCAATCAACAAAAAAACAAAGGGGTCCAGGGTCCTAGTTCCTCTGCTCCTTGTTATTGTGTTATGTGTATAATGCATGAATGAATTCTTAATGCAGGCTTTCCTTTTGCCACTTCTCTTTTCTCATTACTTCTCTCCCTGATCTTAGGAGTTAAGGATTTTTAGTAAAGCAGCAAAAGCAATTCGTATATGATCTGTCTTGCGTCCAAATTCAGATATGATGGACTTCCAAATGGATTAGCATGCATCGACCCAAATTCTCCAAGTCTAATTAGAAAGCTAAGCTGAATGTTAAATATCAGTCAAAATTGCGCCCACTGAGATTCAGAAAAAGGATAATTGGATTGGTTTAAGTTATTTAAAAGCTTTTGTTTCTGTACAATGATCCCATATGGGGTGATAACAATAGTATATATGGATTTTAAATGCCTTTTAGCATGCATGTGATTCATTTCAATTTGATCAAATAATATTATTAAAAAAGTAATTCATGATGTAATCACTCTTTCCAACTACTAATTATAAGTGAAGTTGTTAAAGGCCTAATTTTCTCTTCAAGAAATTGTCGAATATGGTATTAATTATTATTATTATTATTATTAAAATATATGTTTGATGCTTTGTGAACGAAGATACAATAGAGAAGGAAATGCAAATTACATGGTTTATTAATTAAAGAGAAAAAAAAAGGCTAGGTTTCTTGGTATGTCAAATCTGTGTCTACAGGAAATTATAGACAACTAATTTCTTGTCTCCTTTTGATAAATTCTAAAAAAGAATGAACAAAATTCTCATATACGGCCCGCAGGGCACAGCAGGTAAGGTGTGTACGACAGTTTATAATGATTTTGTTGTGATTGCCAATCATTGGTTTCGGTTATGAGAAGATATATAAAAGCAGCTTTTCTGATGATTTAAGCTACCAGCTTATCCAGTTAACCCCCCCCCCCCCCCCCCGGGGATAAAGTTCAAGCCAACCAACTTAACTCCCTCGTTCGTTGAATTAAGTGATTCATACAAATTACAAATTAGCAACACCATGCAACATTAGTTTGGGAAAGTAGTTGATCTTTTGGTTCAATTTGGTTATCTCAACGGTTCCGAGGTACGTATAAATGAAGGGATATTGTATTACGACTGTTGGGAACGTTAAACTTGAGTTTTAATTAAGATCAACCTTTGATTTTGGATTGTTTCTTATGGCTTTCTGAAATTCTCTCCATTTTCATAATGTTTGGGATTATCAATTATGATAGGATATGTCATAACGTCTAGATCCGGAGATCTATCGCTAGACATTGACTTAAAGAGTCGTCACGAATCTTTTTTTATCTAGGTGCAATTGGTCATCTAAGGAATATGTCATTGAACACCTAAGTTTAAGGGTCCCTAAAAGAATAGGCTCGGGTCTACTAACCAGAATAGGGTTCGAAAGTTTGATTACGTGTGAGGAAGGTTATAGCACCCTCACAACACCCATCAAAAGATGGTACCAGCTTAATTTTGTGTTATCCAATAAGCCTTAAAAATTTATCAAGTAATTAGTTAGTAATTAGTTGTTGGAAATTGTTTTCAATTAACTCTAATACTTTTAGCAAAAAATTGAAAAAATCTCTTCACCTCAAGAGTATGCACGAAAACTACTGTTTCACTTGCAGATGCTCCATCGTCAGATTATTTAACATTAAAAAAATTTAAAAGAAATAAAAAAGAAAAAAATGATTGCTTTTGTACAAGAAAAAATTGATACTTTCAACTTTTCTTAAAAAAAAAACTCTTTTTTTGGAAATTTATTCTTAAGAAAAATTGATACTTTCAATTTTTTCTTAAACATATTTTTTTTTGAAATTCTTAATTTCGAGGAAAATTGATACTTTTAACTTTTTCTCAAAAAAAAAAAAAACCTTTTTGAAGATTTATTCTTAAGAAAAATTGATACTTTCAACTTTTCCTCAAAAAAAACTTTTTTTTGAAAATTTATTCTTAAGAAAAATTGATACTTTCAATTTTTCCTCAAAAATGTTTTTTTAATTTTTTTTATTTTATTTAAAGAAAATGAAATAAATAAAATAAAAAAATATTAAATAACCCTAATATAATAATAAATAAATAAAATAAAATAAAATAAAATAAAATAAAATAATAAAAATAATAAAAAAAAAAAAAACAAAAAAAAACCTGGAGCAGCTCGGCTTGAGGCTCGGCTCAGCTTGAGGAAGAAAAACGGCTCGGAGCAGCGGCTCAGAGGTGTCAGCTCGGCTTGGCTAACGGCTCGAAGGGGCGAGTCATGCGCAGGTCGAAAAACGGGTCGACACTCGGGTCGGGTCGGATCTTGGCAAAGCACGCGGATCCTCTGAGTTACTTAACACAGAAACGACGTCGTTTTGGAAGGGTATATAAGGCTGATTCCTTCGTTTCTTCAGTAGAAGCCTTTTTCCCTCTCTCTCTTCTTTCTTTTCCTCTCCCTTCTCTCTAAAATTTTTGAAGAACTTCGGTTGAATATTCATCGAATTCTAGAAAATTCGTCAGAATCTGGGTTTTTCACTGAAAGTTCATCGAAAAATTGATCGGTTTCTGAGAATATTCATCGAAAACTGGGCAGCTGGTCGAAAACTTCAAACTTGGCCGAAATTATAGTAGAAAAATTTAACTTTTGTCGAAAAATTCAACCGGAATCTGAAAATTTTTCAAAAATTTCCAGAAAAAATTTGTAGAAAAATCTTCAAAAATTTTCCAACGATTCCTAAAGCTATTTTAATGCCTCTAAATCTTTTTTCAGCTTTCGAATCTCTTCTGTCTGCCTTTTTCTCTCAATCAGTACTCTTTTCCTTCTGTTTTTCTGTGTGTTTCCTTTGATTCTGAGGGTCCTTTTATAGGGATTGATAAGAAGAGTTTCTGATCAATCCTAACTCCTCTTTAGATCGAGATTCAATCATTGAATCCAATATGGACTCTTCTGATTAAATCCCAATCCAATCTTCAGCCGAATAAATCAAAAAAATCAAATAAAAATATTAATGAAAATAAATAAGATAAATAAAAAAATTAACAGATAAATTAAAATTAAATAACAGATAAATTATAACATATAATCTGATTAATATACATATAAATATTAACAGAAAAAAAATAATAAGGATATATATATTAATAAATACATAAGATAAAAATAAAAGAAAAATATATATAAAAACAATAATAAAAATAAAAAAAAAATAAAAATATAAAATACAAAAAAAAAAAAAATAAACTTACCTATTTGGACCAGATCCAATTGATCCGGGCTTGGACCAAATTGAGTGTTTACAGGATATTTCTCTTCTTTTCTTTTTCTTTTGATATTTATCAAAATCCGTTTGATTTTTTTGTTTTTTTACCAACAAAAAACGAAGCATTAAGGCAGTGTTTAGTTTATTGTTCAAAATTAGAGAGGAGGCCCCTTAACTATTGCAGTTCGTTTGTTCCAATAATGATAAAAGGAGTCGTAACAAGGCATTGAAGGAGTTTTTTTTTT